TTGGATCCGCACGGTTCGTCTCCAGCTCCGCCGCCGTTTCCGGACGGATCTTCCTGTCCTGCGTCTGCACTCTGACAGAGGTGGTGAGTTTTCCTCCGACCTCTTGAGGACCTTCTGTCAGGCGGAGGGCATCGAGCAGACCTTCACGCTTCCGGACTCCCCACAGCAGAATGGGGTTGCTGAGCGCCGCATTGGCCTGGTCATGGAGGTCGCTCGTACCTCCTTGGTCCACGCGGCGGCTCCCCATTTTCTGTGGCCGTTTGCTGTCCGGTACGCCGCGCATTAGCTCAACCTCTGGCCCCGTGTCTCCTTGCCGGAGACCTCGCCCACACTGCGTTGGACGGGGGAGGTTGGCGATGCGTCGCGCTTCCGGGTGTGGGGTGCTCGTGCCCTTGTCCGCGATACGTCCGCGGACAAGCTCTCCTCCCGCACGCTTCCCTGTGTCTTCCTTGGCTTTGTCCCTGACGCGCCTGGCTGGCAGTTTTACCACCCCACCTCGCGCCGGGTCTTCGCCTCTCAGGATGTCACCTTTGACGAGTCGGTCCCTTTTTACCGTCTCTTCCCCTACCGCACTGCCCCCCTCCCTCCCCCGCCGCTTTTCCTTGCTCCTGGTCCCCCTCCGGTAGACCCCCTTCCCCCTCAGGGTCCTGCTCCTTCAGGTGTCTCTCAGGTAGACCCTCCTCCCGTCGCTGAGCCTGTCGAGGTCACAGGTGACTCAGGTGCTGCTGCGGGTGGTGCTGCTGGGAGTGCTGAGCCTGGGGGTGCTGAGCCTGGGGGTGCTGGGCCTGGGGGTGCTGGGGCTGCAGGTGCTGGGACTGAGGGTGCTGGAGCTGAGGGTACGGTGCCTGAGAGTATGGAGCCTGGGGGTGCTGCGCCTGGGGGTGCTGAGCCTGCGGGTGCGGGGCCTGGGAGTGCTGGGACTGCGGGTACTGGAGCTGAGGGTACTGTGCCTGAGAGTTTGCCGCCTGGGGGTGCTGCGACTGGGGGTGCTGAGCCTGCGGGTACTGAGCCTGGGGGTGCTGCTACTGAGCCTACGGAGCCTCGGGTTACTGCGTCTGGGGGTGCTCCGGTTCGGGGTGCTGAGCAGTCTCTCACACCGCAGCAGCTTCGCGACTGGTACGTCCGACGCTTTCGCCGTCCTAGTGGCTCGGCTGGAGTTTGGGGTGCTGGAGCTGCTCGTCCTGGGGGTGCTCGTACTGGGGGTACTGGAGCTGCCGGGACTGGCTGTTCTGGGAGCACTGTGACTGGAGCTGCTGGAGCTGGGGACTCTGGCGCTGGCGGTGCTAGCGGAGTTGGAGCTGCCGACTCTGGGGGTGGCGCTGCTGCTGGTGCTGCGGACCCACCTGGTGGAGCTGCTGCTGGTGCTGACGAGTCGGACGGTGGAGCTGCTGCTGGAGCTGGGGACCCGGCCGGTGGAGCTGCTGCTGGTGCTGTGGACCCGGACGCTGGAGCTCCTACTGGTGCTGAGGACCCGGCCGCTGGAGTCCCGTCTGCTTCTGGAGACGCTGCGCGGCCGCGACCGTACTTCGTACCGCTCCTTCAGCAGGTTCTTGGGCAGGCTCCTCCTCCTTGTCCTCCTCCCTCCGTAGAGTGTCCTCCGCCTGTCCAGCCGCAGTCACAGTTACCGCCTGCCTCGCCTCTCCCTGCTCCCTCTCCTTATACTGGTCCCACAGGAGGTCTTACAGAGCGTCGTGAGCCTGAGTCTCGTCCTGCGTCGCCTGTTCGTCCTGCTCGCACTGGTAGTCGTGTCCGTCGTGAGCGTCCTCCTCCTGTCCCAGGCACTCACTACATGACTCTGCGTCCCTCTACTGCTCCTCGGCGTGTCCCTCTACCGTCTCCTCCTGCGTCCTCTTTGCCTGCCGTTCCGGACCCTGAGTCTGACCGGTATCGCGCTGAGCACCCTACAGTCACGCGTCTCCTTGCTACTGTTGTCACTGACCCCACCTTTGAGTCCTCGGCTGCGTCTGCTCTGGTCGCTGAGTTGGTTGACTTTGCTGCTGCCTGTCGTCTAGACTACGCTGCTAGCCTTGTCGCTGAGTCAGAGTCTGCGTCAGTCTGTCCTCCGTGCGTCGGGGGTGAGTGTGCTCTTGGCACGGACGTCCTTGAGGACAGGCAGGAGGACTTTGACTCTCTTGCGACTGCTGTACCTCATCTCGTGGCCTGGTTGCTTGCCCCTGAGGGAGACCCGGATGCAGTAGACATCCCCACTCCGCGCACTTACGCAGAGGCGATCTCGGGTCCCTACTCCTCTCAGTGGCAGACAGCTATGGACGCAGAGATGGCATCCTGGAAGTCCACAGGCACCTACGTCGACGAGGTTCCCCCTCCTGGGGCGAACATCGTCGATGGCATGTGGATTTTCAGGGTGAAGCGGCCGCCAGGTTCTCCGCCTGTCTTCAAGGCTCGTTACGTTGCTAGAGGCTTCAGTCAGCGTCAGGGGGTCGACTTCTTCCAGACCTTCTCCCCCACCCCGAAGATGACCACTCTTCGGGTTCTGCTGCACGTTGCTGCTCAGCGTGACTACGAGCTTCACTCTCTTGACTTCAGCACAGCGTTCCTGCAGGGCAGCCTGCACGAGGAGATCTGGCTGCGCCGCCCACCTGGCTTTACTGGGTCGTTTCCCCCTGGTACCCAGTGGAGTCTCCGCCGGCCAGTCTACGGTCTCCGCCAGGCGCCACGTGAGTGGCACGACACACTGAGGACTACTCTTGCGGCTCTTGGGTTCGCGCCGTCTACTGCTGACCCGTCGCTGTTTCTGCGCACAGACACGTCGCTGCCGCCGTTCTACATCCTCGTGTACGTCGACGACTTGGTCTTTGCTACTGCTGACACTGAGGCACTCGCTCGTGTGAAGTCGGAGCTGCAGAAGAGACACACCTGCACTGACTTGGGTGAACTGCGTAGCTACCTTGGCTTGCAGATCACCCGGGACAGAGCTCGCCGCACCATCACCCTGACTCAGTCACACATGGTGCAGCAGGTCCTTCAACGCTTCGGCTTCCAGTTCTCCTCACCACAGGCCACACCTCTGGCTACCAGCCACTCACTCTCAGCTCCACCTTCGGACGAGTCCGTAGAGCCGAGTGGCCCGTACCCAGAGCTTGTAGGCTGCCTCATGTACCTGATGACTTGCACGCGACCTGACCTCGCGTACCCTCTTAGCATCCTTGCTCGTTACGTTGCGCCTGGGAGACACAGGCGAGAGCACTGGGAGGCTGCTAAGAGGGTGCTGCGTTACCTGTGCAGTACATCAGGCATGGGGCTGGTGCTTGGAGGACGCGACAGAGTTGTCCTCACTGGTCACTCGGACGCCTCTTGGGTGGACGACCTGGCTACGCAGCGGTCGTCACAGGGTTACACCTTCAGCCTTGGCTCAGGTTCTGTCTCGTGGCGGTCCACCCGCTCTTCCTCTGTTCTCGGCTCTAGTTGTGAGGCTGAGATCTACGCCACAGCCATGGCTGCACAGGAGTTACGCTGGCTCACCTACCTGCTGACTGACTTGGGAGAGCGGCCTAGTTCTCCTCCAGTTCTGTACGGTGACAACAAGGCGGCTCTTGCCTTGTGTCAGGAGCACAGACTGGAGCACAGGACGAAGCACATTGCTCTTCGCTACTTTCTTGCTCGAGAGCTTCAGCAGCGCGGTCAGCTTCGGCTTGTGTACGTGGACTCGAAGGCCAACACTGCTGATATCTTCACCAAGGCGCTCTCGCCTAGTGATCATCAGCGGCACTGTACTTCTTTAGGCCTTGTGTCCACGTTTCCTCACTTGCTCACTGCTTGACATTCTTTGTACTGTACTTTATATATATCTTGTTGCTTGCTTGCTAGGTTTTGATCACTGTGTTGCTTTTCTTTTACTATATCTAGCACTGCATGTGAACTGGCCTTGTGGCCTTTACTTGTGCTCGGAGTGTGGTGACGTTGTGATCCACCCTGGGCTTTGCTTTGCTTTGCTGGACTGGTCTTGTGACCCTTTGTTCTCCCCCACTTTGCCTATGGGGGTGTGTTAAACTGTATTATGCTTGTAGGCTGTAGTGGGGTAGCCAATATGGGGTACAACCCCAACTAGGGTTTCATATTTGTACCCAAACTTCTGCTAGTTCAATCATTCTTGCCTAGTGATTCTGACACCCCCAACTTCAGTATTAACTGTAACACCTTTTTAAAAAGAAGCCATATGATAAGACCCGGGTGGTATTTTTTTTTTCCTTTGTTAAGACCCCCCCCCTTTTTTTCTAGGGATTTAGCATAAGACCCTAAGGTCTTATATCCGAGGGATTACGGTAAGTCTAACCCTAACTGTTGTACCCCATACGACACGTATCACTAAAGGCTACAACATTTGACAAAGGGCTAGTTAAGCGGGGAGGTCGGGCGAAGACGGCTCGGTGATGTTGCGATTGGAGCGGGGCTGACTTGGGAGTGGTTCGGTGCGACGAAATAGGCCGAACATGCTCGCCGTGTGACCCTCAGGATGGCCTCGCTAACGCGTGCCTCGGTAAGGATTTGTACACCCTTACATTGTACGCATTAGAAGAGGAAATGAAACAGCTGTATGATTATGGAGGAGATAGGGAGGAGCTAGTACCCTCCCAAAATAAACATCAAATTTTCTATGTATATCCCAACCCTTCTTATCTCAACGTCAAATGTCGTTTTTGTTACACAGTAGAGCAACGCAGTTAGGTTTTCGCAGAGCGTCTCCACCGACCTTCACATTCGCGTCGTGCGAGTCCACCGCGCCCCTGGCCAGGTGCCACCCCCTCCACGCCCGCCCCCCGCCCGCCGTCGCGCTGCTCACCCCCCCGCGCTCCGCTCCCCAGCCCCGCACTCCGCCCAGCCCCTCAGCCCGCCCCCAGCCCCCCACTCCCCCCAGCTTATTCCGCCCAGCCCAGTCCGCCAGCTTCTGTGGCGGCATGGAGGTGGGGGGGCCGCGGCGGGCGGGCGTGCGGCGAGTGGAGGAGGGCGAGCGCGTGGTGGTGTACGAGGCGCGCGACGCCATGCGCATCGCCACTGTCACGCCCAGCCGCTCCCTGCAGAACCGGTCAGACCCTCGCTGGCGCACGGGGGGTGGCGCGTAGGGGGAGGTGCGAGGGGGTTGGCGCGAGGGAGGGAGGGTGGTGCAGGAACGGTGAGAGTGCATGGCGGTGGGGCAAGGGCGATTGGCGGGGCAAGGGCGATTGGTGGGGCAAGGGCGATTGGTGGGGCAAGGGCGATTGGTGGGGCAAGGGCGATTGGTGGGGCAAGGGCGATTGGTGGGGCAAGGGCGATTGGTGGGGCAAGGGCGATTGGTGGGGCAAGGGCGATTGGTGGGGCCCATCTCATGTGAGCAGCGCCGCTTAGTGGGGTGGATGGGGTGGGGGGTGTTGGGATTAGGGGCAGAGTCGGATGAGGGGCACAGCTGAGGGGGATGGGGGGCTACAGCAGCTGGCCTTGCTCTCATCTGCTCTTCTCCCCCACACTGCTTTCCCCGCACACTGCTTTCCCCTCCCGTCTTCATCGCTCGCCCTGTGGTCCTTTCCCCCTCCCCTCCCGCCAGCTTCGGAGTGTTCCGCCACAGCGAGTGGGTGGGGCGGGCGTTGGGGTCGCGCGTGCGGGCGGCCAAGGGGGGCGGCTTCCTGCACCTGCTCGCGCCCTCGCCCGCCCTCTGGACCAAGGTGACGTGCGGTGCGCTGCCCTGCGCTGAGGTGAAGTGAGGTGAGGTGCGGTGAGGTGGGGGGGGAGGCGAGGCGAGGCGAGGCGGGGTGAGGTGGGTGGCAAGGTCATGGTGCGGGCAGCACGGCGCACTCACTGCATCGCACCTCACTTGCCTTCCCATGCCTCCGTCAGCCACCGCCCACCCTCAACTTCCCCAACCCACCCCTTCCCCCTCTCCCTCCCCCCCACCAGGTGCTACCACACCGCACGCAGATCCTCTACCTGCCCGACATCGCTCTCATCATCGCGCGCCTCGCCGTGACGCCCGGCGCTGTGGTGCTGGAGAGCGGCACGGGCAGCGGCAGCCTGTCGCACTCCCTGGCGCGCGCCGTGGCGCCCTCCGGCCGCCTGCTCTCCTTCGACTTCCACCACGGCCGCGCCGAGCAGGCGAGGTGAGCAGGCGAGGTGAGCAGGCGAGGTGAGCAGGCGAGGTGAGCAGGCTGTGAGGAGGGGGGAGGCGGTGAGGAGGAGGGGGGGAGGCTGTGAGGGGGGGGGGAGGCTGTGAGGGGGGGGTGGAGGCTGTGAGTGGGGAAGGAGGCTGTGAGGGGGGGGGGGTGCGGCAGCACGCGTGTCGGCAGCCTGCCATGCTTCCTCATGCTCCTGGGAGCAGGGGCGCGCAGCACATGGCAGGGGGTGAGGATGAGGAGAGGAGTGCGTGCTACATGGCATGGGCAGGCTGGGGAGAGTGCGAGAGGAGGTGAGGGGAATGCGAGTCACTGGCGAGCGTTGAGAGGGGAGGGTGTTATTGTGGTCCTCGTGCTGCTGGGAGCAGGGGGTGGAAGTAGCAGGAGCACGTTCATGCTCCTATTTTCATTGCCAGTGCAGGAGTGCCTCATCAGCCTCTTCATACTCCCAGCTTCCTCTGCTTCCTTCAGGAGCTCCTGTTCTCTTTCATTCTTGCCTCGGCCTCCGCAACACACTACTTGCCACGGAACAACACACTACGTGCCACGGAACAACACACTACGTGCCACGGAACAACACACTACGTGCCACGGAACAACACACTACGTGCCACGGAACAACACACTACGTGCCACGGAACAACACACTACGTGCCACGGAACAACACACTAGTGCCACGGAACAACACACTACTTGCCACGGAACAACACACTACGTGCCACGGAACAACACACTACGTGCCACGGAACAACACACTACGTGCCACGGAACAACACACTACGTGCCACGGAACAACACACTACGTGCCACGGAACAACACACTACGTGCCACGGAACAACACACTACGTGCCACGGAACAACACACTACGTGCCACGGAACAACACACTACGTGCCACGGAACAACACACTACGTGCCACGGAACAACACACTACGTGCCACGGAACAACACACTACGTGCCACGGAACAACACACTACGTGCCACGGAACAACACACTACGTGCCACGGAACAACACACTACGTGCCACGGAACAACACACTACGTGCCACGGAACAACACACTACGTGCCACGGAACAACACACTACGTTCCACGGAACAACACACTACGTGCCACGGAACAACACACTACGTGCCACGGAACAACACACTACGTGCCACGGAACAACACACTACGTGCCACGGAACAACACACTACGTGCCACGGAACAACACACTACGTGCCACGGAACAACACACTACGTGCCACGGAACAACACACTACGTGCCACGGAACAACACACTACGTGCCACGGAACAACACACTACGTGCCACGGAACAACACACTACGTGCCACGGAACAACACACTACGTGCCACGGAACAACACACTACGTGCCACGGAACAACACACTACGTGCCACGGAACAACACACTACGTGCCACGGAACAACACACTACGTGCCACGGAACAACACACTACGTGCCACGGAACAACACACTACGTGCCACGGAACAACACACTACGTGCCACGGAACAACACACTACGTGCCACGGAACAACACACTACGTGCCACGGAACAACACACTACGTGCCACGGAACAACACACTACGTGCCACGGAACAACACACTACTTGCCACGGAACAACACACTACGTGCCACGGAACAACACACTACGTGCCACGGAACAACACACTACTTGCCACGGAACAACACACTACGTGCCACGGAACAACACACTACGTGCCACGGAACAACACACTACGTGCCACGGAACAACACACTACGTGCCACGGAACAACACACTACGTGCCACGGAACAACACACTACGTGCCACGGAACAACACACTACGTGCCACGGAACAACACACTACGTGCCACGGAACAACACACTACGTGCCACGGAACAACACACTACGTGCCACGGAACAACACACTACGTGCCACGGAACAACACACTACGTGCCACGGAACAACACACTACGTGCCACGGAACAACACACTACTTGCCACGGAACAACACACTACGTGCCCCACCCGCCTGGCTGCACTCTCCCCTGTGCAGGGCGGAGTTTGAGGCGAACGGCATAGCGGGCGTGGCATCGGTGCAGGAGAGGGACATTCAGGGCGACGGCTTCCCGCCCCACCTGCACGGCACGGCGCACGCCGTCTTCCTCGACCTGCCCTGCCCCTGGCTCGCCCTGCCCTCCGCCGCCGCGTGCCTGGTGGGGGGCGGGCGGGTGTGCTCCTTCTCGCCCTGCATGGAGCAGGTGCAGCGCTGCTCCCAAGCCATGCGCGCCCACGGCCTCACCGGTGCGCCACCAGCCCCCGACACGCCCCTCTGCCTCGCATTGCCCTCTCTTGCACCCTTCCACCCTCCCACACTGCCCTCTGCCTGCATCTTTCCATTCCATTCCCCACTCGCTGCTCCAGCTCCTCTTCTGCTCATCTGCTCATCTCCGTCCCCCCTTGTTCACTGCATGCGTGCGTGCCCCGCATGCCGCCAGACATTCGCACCGTGGAGCTGCTCAGCCGAACCTACGACGTGCGCGAGGAGGTCCTCACCGTGCCAAACCTGCATCCAGCCTCGGAAGCTCCGAGCCTGGAGTCGGCAGGGGAGGGGGAGAATGGGAGGGCCAGCGAGGGCGACGGGGGCCAGCGGAGTGACGGCCACGCAGCGAAGCGGCGCCGCGAGGAGGGAGGTGGTGGCGAGGAGGAAGGTGGGATGGAGCAGAGTACAGCAGCGAGGGCGGAGGGGGGGCGAGAAGACGGTGATGCGAGGGGAGAGGTTGGGGCAGCGGGCAGGGGGAGGAGGGAGGTGGGCAGGCGGCAGAGAGGGGTGGTGGAGAGCGTGGGTTCGGCAAGGAGGTACGTGGCAGCGAGGCCCGTGGCGGAGAGCAAGGGGCACACCGGGTACCTCACCTTCGCCTCCAAGCCCGTGTGATGCCCGCCCCACTGGGGCATCGCCGCATGCCCACGGCAGCAGCGGTGAGTCGCGGTTCCCAAGTGCACTGGCTCGGATCCGATGACAGTGCTGCTATGCGTGAAGACAACCTCACAGCACTCGGAACCCCTCTTGAACTGGCATGGCCCAGGGCAATAGTATCGACCCAAGGTTTGTTCACGATGTTCCTGACGATGGTGCCTTATTTACATGCAGGCCTCTGGATAGGATTTAGGGTACTCTTTCACGTAAGGCCAACACTTAGCTGTCACTCTTTCAGTAAGGGTGCTTCACAGAAACTGCTCTGGTAAAAAGCAGGGTGCAAACAAATCTAAACATAGGTCAAGTACTTGTTTGACCATACTATGTAGAGTGTTCGTGTTCTAGTGTGATCGTAGTTATGTGGAGGACCCAAGTTCGATACCCGGCGCGATCATCCTACGCTGAAATGGTGTTTTACGCGACCAATCTTAGAATCGAACTCGATTTCATCAGTGTTACTACACCACATAGCTCTGAAATATCAGTGTCGTACAATCGATCACCTTTTTTTGTAAGGGTCTAAAACAAAACCAGTCTTGTAGAAAAGGGTGCATCGTCAAACCCGCCCTTATAGTAAGGGTCATAAGGGTGAATCACCCTGATATCGAGAGGCCAGTTTACATGTGATTGTTCTGCAGCCAACCACGTCAATAGCACTTTGGGGTCTACACTACCTTAAAGTGGAAACGTGGGGGAATACATAGTTTTTTACTAAAGAAAAAAAAGGACAAAGTTGATAAATTATTTTTATACAAATGAGAGCCTGCGCAGGATATAGGGAGAGACGTTGCTGGACGACAGCTATGGACTAAACTTGTTGGGTGAGGCCTTTCATTCCAAGAGTTGTGGTTGTACCTAATTTGAAATGGAAAGTCATTTCGATGACGTGATAGTACCACAAACAGCTCGATATATCCGTTATACGATAGTCATCCAGGCAACCATCAGCAGCAAGGCCATCACTTGGCTGGGGACGGGAGGCTTGTGCCATTGCCGCCTCGTAGTTCCCCGCTTCCCTCATGTTCGCTCGCCGTCGCGCCACCACCTCGCCACGATGGCTAACGAATATGGACCTCTCTCTATCGTCATCTATGCCACGTCAGCCGTCGCATCCGCCACGTCACCTCTCCGCCAGTTCATCTGGTCGGCTGTGCGCCTTCAGCTTTTCCTCGCGTCGACCTGCCTTTCCGCCATCTGCGCGCTTCCCCTGCTCCCCTTCCGCCTGCTCTCCGCCGCCCTCCGCGAGAACAAGGTGCGCGCAGGGGGGCGTGCCGGATGGCAGAGGCACGTAGGATTCCGTGCGCAGCAAAACGCGCGCAGGGCGGCGGAGAGCGTGCGAATTCGCTTTTTCCCAGATCCGTCGTCACGGCGCTCCACCTTGCCTCTCGCTTCCGCGCCTCGCCATCGCTTTCTCCCGATCGCACGCCGCGTGCAGCCAGCCCGGTGTGACGCGCGCCGCATGGTGCATGAGCGGTCGTTGCAACCGTTTACCGCCTCGCCTCGCCTTCCGGATTTCCCTGTCCCCTCGCCGTCCCCTCGCCTTCCCCCCACCCCATCCCCTCCGCTAACCCCCTCGCTTCGCCTCTTCTCCATCCGCCCTCCTCGCCAGCACGCGTCGCACGAGTCTCGCTACCTCCTTCGCCTCCTACTTTTCTCTCCCGCCCTCCCTGCCCCCCGTTCTTCCCCCGCCCCCATTCCCCTTCGCGCCGTCCCCCCTCCCCTCCAGATGCGCGCGAGCCTAGCGGAGGCGCAGCAGCAGGGCGGGTACTGGCGCGAGGCGGCGGCGGCGCTGCAGCAGCGCGCGAAGCGGGAGGAGGCGGCGCGGGAGGCGAGTGAGGCGGCGGCGCGCGAGGCGGCGGCGCGGCTAAGGAAGGCGCTGGCGCAGCGCGCGCAGCTGAAGGAGTGCCTCCAGCGCGCCGTGCGCGAGGTGCGGAGGGGGTTGGTGAGGGGGGGGGGAGAGGGGGATGTGGGGGGAGAGATGGAGGGGTGGGTGGTGCAGTGGGGTTTGGGGAAGGTGGTGGCGGGGGGTGGTGGGGTGAGTGGTGTTGATCAGCGTCGGGTGGGGTTGGCACTGAGGCGTTGTGAATGGCACTGAGGGGTCGACATGCCTTTCCACACTCTCCCCTCCTCCACTCATCCACATCCCTTTGTGTATTCGTCCCTCGCCCTCACTATGCCCCATTGCTCCCTTCCCCTTCGCCTCTTCTTCCCATGCAACGCCATTCCGTTCTCACGGTCGTCCTAACAACCCCATCCACCCCATGTGCTGTGCGGCGCACATCAGCTGGGCGAGGAGGCGGCGGCGAGGCAGGAGGCAGAGAGGGCGCTGGCGAGGGAGCGCCACCGCTGTGCGCGCCTGCATGCCGACCTGGGCGCCTCGAAGTCGCGCTGCTCTCAGCTGCAGGCTGACCTGGCGGCTGCCAGCCTGGCACTCGGGCGGCTGAGGGAAGAGCTGGCGGCGGCGACTCAGCGGCTGACGGCGTGCCAGGTGGCAGCGGAGGAGGCAGCAGCCGTGGAGGAGAGGCGAGGCGGGGCGAGTGGGGGGGAGGCGGTGTGGGGTGGTGGGGGGGGTGATGAGCAGGAGGTGAGCAGGGGCAGGGAGGGGAGAGGGCAGCGGGGAAGGCGTGGGCGTGGTGGCGAAGTGGGCAGGACGACGAGGGTGGTCCAGAGGCGGGGAGATGGGGCGTGGCAGGGTGAGGAGGGTGAGGGGACTGCCTCTGCGTGCACCTCTGCCTCCTCCGGTTCTCACGCCCCCACTGCCACGCCGCTCCCCCCACTGCGCTCCTCCTCGCCTGCTCCCCCCCCATCACAGCAACCACAGCCCCTCGCCCTCGCCCTCCTTACAGAGCCCCTGCTGTGGCGGGCGGCCCTCAAGGCCACAGCGGCAGCGCTGCTGCTCACCACGCTGCTGGCGCTGCTCGCCTGCCTGCAGCCGCACCACTGCCCGCCCGCGCTGCTCACCATGCTCGCCCTCACTGCCCTCGCTGCGCTGCTCACTGCACTCGCCCTCGCCCTCGCCATGCCCTCCCGCCGCCCCTCTGCCTCACCCGCCCTCTCCCCCGCCTCCTACCGCGTTCGCATGGTGGCAGCAGCAGCGGCGGCAGCGGTGCCTCTCCTCTGCGCCTGCTGGTTTGGCCTCGGCCTCCTCCTGCGCTCCATGCCCCCCTGGCCTGCTGTCTCCCGTGCGCTCTACTCGCATGGCCCCGCCTCGCTGGAGCGCGCCATCTCAAGCTTCGGGTTCGCTCTCAGCAGTGCGCCCATGAAATAGAATTGAAGGCGCTTGTTGGCGAGAGGCAATAAGCAGCCGTTGGCCCATCAACAACCACCACAGTTTGTTGTTATGGCGGAGCACGGTCTGCCCTGTCCTCCCTGTACATATGCTTGATACATTCATTCTGAATCTGGATTGTTCGGCGCTGCAAAAATGAGCCAAAGACAGCTGACTAGGGATGGGATGAGCCAAGGCAGCTAACTAGGGATGAGCCAATATACTGGAACTGGCCTCTTTAGGTCCTCTGAGGTGGTTATTCTGGATTCGGGTTTTGTTCTCTATTGCTACACATAGCAGAATATGGATTGTACAATGACCCACCTACTGAATCTCTACACATGAAATAATACTAGTAGGGAGTATCCCTGATATGGTATGAACAGATACATCACAAAAGCAGGAGCTTTCGGGGGCTCACCGTTCCCGCAGCTCCTCCCACCAACCTCATCGTGTGCAAATTTCAGCAAGGGTTTACAAGGGTTCACCCTCAAAACCAAAACCGGGTGGCTTTGGGGACTCGCCGTTCCCCTCCCGCAGCTGCCACCAGTTCCATCGTGTCCGAATTTCAGCAACCGTTTACGGGGAAGGGTTCACCCGCAAACCCTAGGCAACAACAGCCTCGTCCCCTCTTTCAGTCCACCTGGCTTCTTCGCCTGCCCCGCAGCCGCCCGCCAGTGCCATAAACTCGACCGCCCCGCGTGCTCGTTGCTTCTCTTGCGCATCGACCACGCTGACGTCAGCGAGCATGACACGCGGGTCGCGTGCAGCAATCTCGTGAGGCAGTGCACGGCGGAGACGCAGCACGACAAGAGCGGGTCTTGCCGCCAGAGCTCCTCGCCCCACCCGTGCTCAAACGCCGCGGCGCCAGAAGCAGAGTGGTCACCGTGTTGGTTGTGGTCGCGATTGATGACCGCGCCCACCATGGGCTTGTTGATGCGCGCACGCGAATCCCTCTCGAACAGCTCCAGCGCGAACAGAAACTGCGCCTCGCGTGTCTCGCCGCTTGCAGTGGCGTAGGTTTGCGGCGGCGCCTCCGCCAAGTGAGGCGCCGGCTGTGCGACGATGGAAGTTGACGGCGCTGGTGAATCAGCCGCATCTCCACCCTTGCTATCCATGATCCGTAGACGAACAAGATGCTCCAAAATTGGGTATTTCCAACATGCTGCGCCAGATGTCACGCAATCACTGCCCCCCGCGCCCCTGCCAGCATTCCTCCAGCATTCCTCAGCGCTGTCGCCGTCGCAACCCTTCCGCGCGCTTTCGCTCCCCCCGTTTCCGCACTCGTCGCAAGCAGGGCAGGTGACAACCCGCGTGAGACCTTCAAACATGATGCAGAAGAACAGGGGGGGGAAGCGACAGCAGTCCTCGACGCTGCGACAGCAAGGAGACTCGCAGCAGCACGTGCGACAGATTGTGACTCCGACAGGCCTTTGCACCCCGCGGCCCCGCGACGAGTTCTGCCAGCCACAGACGCCGAGGTCGTCTGCACGTCGCAGGTAACCACCGTGCGCGGCCTCTTCTTGCCTATCCGGGGAATGGAAACCTCTGAAGCGCTGAGAGTCTACACGGATCTTCATCTCTGTCACGCACGAAGCAAGCCTGATTTCCTCGCGCTGAACTTATTACGAAATTGGTGCGAGCTGGTAGCACTACAAGTACTACTTGCAAGCCCTCGTGTGGCTCGAGTCCCTGTTGACGGGTCATGGTTCCAACTCGTTGCTTCTAAGTAACGGAAGGCACCCCACAGGGGTGAGTGACAATTTAATTCCCGCCCAACAAAAAAGACTGAATGAGTCGTCTCTCCGCAAAAGGACATGACATGATTGGCTCGGGGTGCTGTCCGTGGTTTGCTGCCTAGCAACGGCATCACATGCATGGCACGTCAGCACTACGAAGGTCGCTCGACTGTACCTCCGCATTCATTTGACCGCGGCTTGGGTGAGGCTGAAACGTTTTAGTCAAAAACGACTATGTTAAAGCAGTTCCACAGCAGTTGCTCTGGTTTACTACGGTTTGGGATAACTTGGGACACGTACAGTACAGCCGTTTGCACGCGCCACACACCAGAGACCCTAGACCGCACCCTAGTCCGCACAGCGGTGCACATACCTACTACCAGATTCAAGAGCCTGCTGCTTTCTTTTTGGTGCAGCTGCTCGTCTGCTGGTGGCGTGGCGGGTGGGCTTGGCGAATTGCCCCAGAGCCAGGCTTTTGTTGCGCGGAAGGAAGTGGGGGCAACAACGCGTGGCTTTCCCCGCATTCCATTGCGTTGTCGTATCGTTTTTTTTACAAGGCGTTTTCTGTGTCTCCTCCACTCCAAATCAACTCCCACCCCGACCTTGTTTACGCCACCCACCCCAAGTCTCGCCTTTGAGGCTCGAACTTGTCACCCTGTATGCCAAAATTAATGCCTAGCTTAAAAAAGAATACGTAGGAAGAAAAAAATGAGGGGTATCTGCCCGTTTGAATAAACGCTCTTGCTGAATTCAATTCTTGTTGACAAGTGGCTCGGTTGCAATTGGGTTGGCCAAACAACACGGCGAGAAGTATGCGGGAAAACTAATCAGTTTCAGCCGGTGTGGCGGAGTTGTTGGCACAATTACGAGGGGAAACCAGTGCGCGGGAAAGCAAGGCCAGCAAGCCCGAAATCGATGTGATGAAGCGTCGGGGGCCAAGTGAGGTTGTACGCGCTGTAGAAAAACTTCAAAATAGTTATAAGTGTTTTGTTGTTGGGGTATGAGGGCAAAGCTTAGGGCGTGTGCACTAGTACTCGATTTTGTGAAAATCGAACACTAGAATCGAACTGCCGTCGCTGTTGTTATTCGAACACCCGTTATTCTAACTCGTGGCTTTTGGTGCGAAGTCTTGTAAAAATTGCTCGGGCACTCAAAAGTAACACTTAAAGGTTCGGACAAATCGTCGCGTGCAGGGCCCGTGCTAGGATTTTGTTACAATCTGAAGTGTGACTTAGCGAAAGGATCGTTCAGGGTTGATCGCAGGTAGTGTCGCAGCGGAAGTAGTGAACTCAGGTCAGAGTGAATGTAAATGACTGAGATTGATTATAGCATGCATACATAGGGTTTATATAGAAATACAAAGGAATGCGAAACTGTTGGGCTGAGAAAAGCCCTTAGGATCTTTTCAGGAGTAAACTTTGGGTAGGAACTATGTAATTGCGGAAGCGTTTAATGAAGGTTTTGTGAACCACCTTGCGCTAGTATGTGAGGCAAGTTGACTATAACAAAGAGATACAAGATTATATAATAGTACAAGGAATACGAAAAGATACGGTTGTAACTACTTTACTGTTGCTGTTGCGGTTCGATACAGTACGACTCGGGCAACTGCTCTGTAACGAGTCAGTTGTGTGTCCTTAACTGTCGCGCTGCACTTGTCAGGTCAAAGGTCGCTTGACCTTTGACTTTCGCGTAACCTCCAGCAACCTCTCAACCTCCGAGGGTTGACTCGCGGGTGTTTCGATATGATTTGCTTCACTTCTGGTGCGGTGTTTCTGTCAGAATCCCAGTCACTAACCACTGGGATAAAAGGGCTTTTTTATATAGCGGGTGAGTGCGCCCATAACCCCCCAGGCCGACGTGCCTGTAACCCTTCCCTAGGATCATCGGGGATCCCCAGTGGACCTCTGACACCCCCCCGCACTGGGATGCCCGAAGTGCACACACCGGGAATCGAACCCGAGACCTTCGCTCTGATACCATGTCAGAATCCCAGTCACTAACCACTGGGATAAAAGGGCTTGTTTGTGTAGCGGGTGAGTGCGCCCATAACCCCCCAGGCCGCCATGCCTGTAACCCTTCCCTAGGATCAATCGGGGATCCCCAGTGGACCTCTGACAGTTTCGACACGACAGAGGCGCTTAAGATTCACTGTTTCCAACACTCCCCTTCGCTTCTGGAGTGTCGCTGCTGGTGACGTGGCTCTGACCATTCAGCAGCATGCAGTACTCGAATTTCTGCTTTCCGAGTTTCTTGGTCAAATAGTCAGCTGCCATCTCGGACGTGGGGCAGTATGACAGCTCGAGTCTTCCCTTCTCGATCTCGTCCTTTACGAAGAAGTAGCGCAGGGCGATGTGTTTCGTCCTGTTCGCGAAACCGTTCTTGTTGGCGATGCGAATAGCCGACTGGTTGTCGTAGAATAGGGTGAAGTTGGGTAACTCGGCTAACTTTGCTTCTTCCAGCAGCTCGCGAAGATAAAGGCCTTCCTTGGTGGCTGAGCAGAGTGCGATGTATTCTGCTTCAGTTGATGAGAGCGCGATTAACTCCTGCTTACTCGACTGCCAGGAGATAGGACCGATAGGTTCGAGGCGGTAGATGTAGCCGGTGCGCGAGCGCCTGTTGTCGGAGTCGCCGGCGTGATCGGCGTCGACGTAGCCGATTAACTTAGTCGGTGCAGTTGCGTTCTTGTAGTAAGTTAGGCCGATTGTCGGGGTACTAACAAGGTAGTGAAGAGCGCGGTCGAGCTCCGCTAGATATTCTGCTTTGGGCTTCTTGAGGTAGGTCGCGAGCTGACTTGCGGAGTATTAGAGGTCAGGACGGCAGGTAACGGCTGCGAAGAGGAGGCATCCTAGCTTCCTCTGGTAGTCGCGTATGCCGGCGGGCTTGAGTAGAGCGGTTCCTCCCTTATTGCTTCCTGTCGTGTAGCGGTATGGCGTGGAGATGGTGGTTGGTGTGATAGAGATTGAAGCGCTTGGCGATGGTGTCGGCGTATTTCGCGGCGTTGAGGTAGATCGCGTCTTCTTCTTCTCGGATGTTGAGGCCGAGGTACTGAGTGATGGTAGACGAGACCACGAGTGTGAGGTCTTGCTGTAGCTCCCCTTCGAACCAAGTAGTGATCCCGTCAGTTGACCCGATGTAGAGGAGATCGTCCACGTAGACGATTAGCAGGATGTAGTCGTCGTTCTTCGTGAGCCGGTACATGCTCTGATCGTGCGGGAGTTGCTTGAAGCCGATGCGGATGAGTCGGGCGTGCAGGTACTG